TGACGACCTTTAGCCAGTTGATGGCAGCAAATTATAGTTGTAGTCCTGAGACTGTTCTGGAAACAGTCATTTCCACCCTGTTTATTTCTTGAAAAATGCAAGTAAAACTTTCAGAGTAATACAACCTTCAGAAAAGAATATGATTTCTAACCCTGGCCCTGTACTCAGTGTGCCAGAGTCAAATCAAATCAACAAGGGTTTAAGCGCCTACAGTGTGCCAGGCACTGTGATACATTTTATCTTGGAGATTCAAGGAGAGGCAGAAAAGAATCCATGCTCTCAAGGAACTCACAATTACAAAGGGGAATCAACTATGTACAAACTAGATATATGCAGGATAAATTGGAGATTGCGTCAGTAGCAAGGTGCCAAGATTAAGGACCAGGAGGGGCTTCTTGGAGAAGATGCGACCCAGAATCTTAACAGTGGTACAGGACCTTAGTGGACCTCTAGTACAACTTCTTCCTGAAGCAAAGCTATTTAGAGCTGCATTCCGATAGTTGTACGGTTTCTGCTTGATCACTTCTAGTGATGGAAAGATCATTTCCTGATGATCCAACCTATTTTAAGCAAAACAAGTGTCATCCTTTTTCTTCTTTATGATGGCCATTCAGATATGTGATAGTAGCTACCATCTCCCCCCTCTAGTTTTATCTTATCTTGGTTAAACATTCCCCTTTCCTTCCAACAATCTGTGTGGTTTCTGGTCTCCTCATCATCCTGCCTACCTTTCTCTGGGAATAAACTGGCCTCAGCTTGGCATTGATCCTCTCAAAATGTGGCTCCCACGACTGAACACGTTACTGAAATGAAGTCTGACCAGGGAGGGGACAGTGTCTGTTGTGACTATCACCTCCATTGGTCTGGACAGTCTACTTCAGTAAATGCAGCCCAATATCATATTAGTCTTTTTGGTTGACAGCATCATGTTGTTGGGCCATATTGAACTTGTAGGGATTTTACATGTGAAAGATCTTTTTTCCATATCTTTCTCATTTTGTACTTGTCTAGTTGATTTTTTGCAAAACAAGTGCAGGACTTTATATTTAGCCCTGTTACATTTTATCTCATTAGCTATAAGGCTCCTGTTCCAACCTGTTGAGATCCTTTTTGGATTCTGATTCTGTCATCTCATATGTTTAGCTGCCTCTTCCAGCTTTCTGTCATCTGAAAATCTGATAAGCAGCCATCTGTGCTTTGAAGTCTTAAGTACAAATGTTGAACAGGACAGTGCCAGTGATCGTCCTGTGGTATACAAGATTCCTTGAGCCATGTGTCTGTCCCAGTTCAGAATAGAGAGAAGGCTTTTGAGAGTCAAGCACAGAGCACCTGAGGAACCCCTGGCATGGGGTTGTGGGCAAACAGTGTGGGGGCCAAGGCTAGGTTCAGATACTAGATGTACCTGCTAGTTTTAATATTGATGACTGGACATACATTGACATTTAGAAATGTAGAATCAGAGTTGGAAGGCCTTAGATATCATCTTTTTTAACCCTTTCATTTTACAGATGAAACAGAGTCCCATAGAGAAGTTAAATGACTTTTCTGAAGTCACAGTGTCTAATGTCCAATTATATGAGAATTAAAAGATAGAGAAAGTCCAATACTATGCATAGGTAGGGTTTATAGCACCACTATCACAAGAGCCATGTGTACTGTCTCTAGACTCTAAAAAAAAATCTACAAGAAGTCTGGCTCTGGCCTATTTCTAATCCTTGAGTTACTTTCCAAATGTTTCACAGTATACTTCTTTATACTGTAAAAATTCATTTAACAAATCTCTAACAGTTTGATTGACTTTTCTCAGGAAATATCTATTGCCACCTCTTTCTAAAGGTAAATATCACACATCATTAAAAGTAATTATACTTTTAGAAGTAGTGTCACATGTGAAGAACCAAATTTTGAATGCAATGCCTGGCGTATAGTAGCAACTTAATAGATGCTTGCTGATTGATTGATGGACATGCAAGACAGAATTCATTATCCTTCTTCAGAATTCATCCCTCTTCCTAACTTCCCTGTTTCCATTGAGGGCACCACATCCTTTCCATTACTCAGGTTTGAAATCTTTAGATTAATCCTCAATTCTTCATTTGTCCCATCCAGTCAGTTGCCAAGTCTTACTGACTTTTACCTCAACACCATCTCTTCCTTCTTTTATTCTTCTCACCATGGCTATCACCCTAGTCCATGTCATTTACCTGCTCAGTAAACTCTAATGGCTCCCCATATCTTTAAGATGAAATATACTAAACTCCTGTCATTTAAAACCATTCAGTATTGGGCTGCAATCTGTCTTTCTCAGCTAATCTCATGTTAACTTTCCTAACACGATCTGTGTCCCAGCCAAACTTGCTTGTTTCCCATATGTTCCTATATGTGCCATTCTGTCTCCTGCACCTGTGCCCTCATCCAGACTCTCCCTCATGCCTGGAATACTTTCTCCCCTCATCTCCATCTAGTAGAATTCCTAGCTTCTTCCAGAGAATAGCTTAGGGGTGCCACCAACCCTAGGGAACTTTTTTAAATTTAAATTTTCTTTATTCATTATCAATTTAATCGATACACATTTTGGTATGCCAAGAACAAAAAAGATGATTTTTTATGAAATTATAAACTGTTACATACAGTTTTTAAGTGTATGTTAAATTTAGTACAGTAGTGTTTATATCTCCTTCTAAAGTTGTTTCTGTTTTTTCTGAGCATTTTTATGATTTTTCCTATTTTTTGATATTATTTTTCTTTTTCATCTCTCTTACAACCCACTACCAGAAGACCTTTCTCTTTCCCAGTTGTTCATGCTCTCTTTTGTATTTCCTTTGAACATATTTTGTATATATTTGCCTATACATGTGTTTCCTCTAAGTTGAGTATAAGTTTCTTGAGAATAGGGAGTGCTTTCTTTTTTGGCTTTGCTGTTTATCCCTGGTACCTGACATAAGGCCTAGCGCTCCATGATACAGCACCATTCAGAATGCCTTCCATACACAAACATCTGTGCTTGCTTCGAGGAGCTGTATGGGCTGGCCCTATTGTTCATGTTTTAGTTGTCAGGGTTCAGTAGAGAAGTTAAGGAATAATTCAGATGAGAAAGAATTACCACAGTTTTACCCAAGGGTGTATACTTTATAATTGAGTTTCACTTTGAGGGTGATAAAGACTTCCCATGTTTCATTTAAGCAATTCTTCCCCCCCCTTTTCATTTTTTATAATGTTAAAGATAAAAAGAAAAAGGCCTGAATGGCAGCCTATTTTTAAAAAATGTGTTTGATATTAATTTGCTCCTCTCTACCTGTGACTTAGCAAAAAGGTTCCATTTTACACCTGTTCATTTAGAGCCTTCTCTGTGCAGAGCACTGGACTTGCCAGTTGAGATTCCCATCTAAACTGAGACCTACCTGGGCCCTGTCTTTGTGGACCTTGTCTAACATTCTGAATTGAAATAGAAAAGGAGCAATGACAGAAAAATGGAATTTCTTAGAACCAATTTATCTTGCAAAAATCAGACAATCTATGCTCTATTTAACAAATGCTGCATATACTTTGCATTAGAGTGTTTCGTTCACCCCACAACCTTCCCTTACTGTGTTAATCGTGGTTCATAATGATATTAGAATACTACAGAACACGTTAATACCAAGAGACAGTATGATGTAGAAAAAATCACAAACTTAAGGACAGACGAACTACTTTGGAGCCCACATTTTGTAAATCATGAGTTCTGTGCTGTTGGCAAATTATGTCACCTCTCATATGTAAAAGGAGGGGATTGGCCCAGCCCTAGGGGCCAAATACTACCCCAGACCACACTGTACAGGCAGCTCAGAACCAGATTAAAGTGTAACTGGGCAAGAGTTAACAAAATACAAGTATAATAGAATATAGATAATTCCAGTATGTGGTTTTCTAAGTCAATATGCAGCTGTCAGGATCCTTATGTGTGACTTATTGGTTCCTTTTTCTATTTGAGTTTGCCGCCACTGGACTAGATGACTTCTAGGCCCTTTCCAGCAGCACTGTTCTGTTCTAGTGAACACAGGAAGAGATGTGGCTACTATTTATGTCAGTATGTCAAGGACCTATGATTTCTGCCACAGTCTGGGAATTCCTTTTGCTAAGGCAGATTACCGTCCATCTATAATTCAGACTTTTAGAGAATCACCTGTGGCTCAGATAGGTTAAATGAATTGCCCTGGCTCACACAACTAGTAACTGGGTCAGAGTTGAGATTTGAACCAGAATCTTCCTAACTCCCAAGTTCTATAAATCCCTCCACTTTGGCAGTTCAGTCTTGCTTTATGGAAGAGACATATGTTCCAGAAAAGTGGACAAAAATAAAAAATTCTCTAAGGCTCCTCCTACTTCCCTGAGATGGAGAAGCAGGTTTGTAAGTATATTTGGGGGCAGCTGAAGATGGAAGAGCTTTCATCAATCCTTTGTGTATGGAGAATCAAGAATTAACTGTACATGGAGTAGGGATGAAAGTATCTTTGAGAAAGTTACTCATTTATGCTTGATGCGACCACAGGAAACATGCCGGGTTTAGGTGAGGACTGCTTTTTATAGCAGCACCTTAGATATCCTAGGGAAGCAGCGCCCCTCACTGGCATCAAATGTTCACTGGCCGGGTGGGTGATAGGTGATGATTTTTTTGTTTATTTATAACAATACTATGATTTTTGTTTTTATACTATTAACGCTTCCTAGACAATACCTGCTATGAAGTTTGCTAATTTGTTTGCTTTTTCTGTAATTCTCTTCACGTATTCAGTAACTAATATTTGGATCAGGAGTGGGGAACCCGTGGCCTCTCCCTTGATTTGGATTAATGAAGTATTGTTTGAAAATAATTTTGCCTCCACTTCTTGTTGATTCCATTGCCAAATATTGTTTTTTTTTAAGTAGCTAGAGCTGAAAAAGCTAAACTTTGCCTTTACAGCCTTTTCGTTTCTGTTAATTTTTAAATGAATGAAATTTCTTTTTATTTTTTTTTTCAGATGATTCTTTGGGATTGGGACTTGAAGCAGTGGTCTAAACCCCATTATCAGGTGAGTGCGTGCATGAGCATGAAGGAAGAGTGATGTTTGTGAAAAACTTAAAAGAAACATTGAAATTTAGAATCAGAACTTCCTGTAGTAAGAACTTGATAATCTGGAATATAATGAATTAGAACCTGCAATTAAATGGATCTTTTTTCTGAATTCCACTTGTAGGATAAAGAGGCAAGTGACCCCCCCCAAAAGCTCATTTAAAAATAATTCTTCAAGCAAGAGGCTGGATGACCTCTTGTCGGGTATGTTGTAGTGGGGATTCCTTTTTGGGTGTAAGTTAGATTAGATGGCTACTGAGGTCTTTTCCAGTTCTAAAATTCTGTGGTTCTATGGTTTAAAAAACAAGCAGTTGTCATGGGATAACCTGGGCTTAGCTTAGGCTTCAACCCAAATTAGTACAAGAACCCATTTTTTAAAATTGAGGACTTCTGACTGAGAAAAAAATCAATTTAGAGTACTTAAAAAATTAATTCCCTTTGATTATTTTTAAAATGAAGAAAAAGAAGCACAAAACTTTATTCATTATTAATACAACAAATACTAAAGTATTTTTGAGTCATGTGTTCAATTATCAATTATATATAAAGCACTGTCAGCACTGAGAGAGATATGAAAATAAATTAGATTTGCCCTGCTCTCCTTCTCACCTTTTCCCCACTGATGATCTAGGAGAGAAGCTAAAGCACATACACAGATTACTACAATAGCAACTAGCATGTGCCAAGTGCAAGAGTCCTACTAGATAGAGTTTAGAGAAAGTAGAAACTATTTCAAGCTTGGAAGTTGGAATCAAGGAAGGCCAAGTTTGTGAGCTTGGCAAGCCCTCAGGGAAATGTGGTGGCAGTGTGGGCTGTCTCTGGAGAACAGGTAGGAGGTTAGTAGGCAGATTTGGAGAAGAGGGTATTGTAGGACAGGTTTGATGATGCCAGCTAGGCCGAGGTACAACAAAGCTCCTAAGGTACACTGAAAGTGGCTAGAAGAGGAGCAGACTGTAGTAGAATGGGCCATGGAACAGGTAGATCTGAGATAAATAGGGACAGGTTGTTATTGCAGCAACTTGTTGGATGGGATTATAGTTCCACAAATACGTATTATGTGCCCACTATGTGCAAAGGCGCCACAAAGACAACAACAAAGATAACAGTGACTGCCTTTGAGGAGCTTATGTTCTCCTGGAGGATCCATGAAAAACCAATGTAAATAAAATAAAATTTGAGGAGGAAGAAATTACTAACAAGGAGAAGGTTAAAGGCAGCTAGAAATTTGCAGAGGCTTAGCTAAGAAGGGAATCTATTCCAGGCATGCTGGACAGCCAGAAGATATGATGTTGTGTGAGGAAGAGGAAGATGTTGTGTTTGCTAGAATGTGAGTATGTTATGAAGAGTGAAGTGGAATAAATCTGGAGCAGTATTGAAGTGTGGGGCTGGGGAGTTTGTGTTTTCTCTTTGAGATGATAGGAAGCCAGTCATTATTTCTGAGCTGGGGAGTGACATGGTCATACCCATGCTGGAGGAAGATTATTTTGACAGCAGAGACAAGGATGGACATGAGGGAGGTGAGACTGGGGAAATAGGATAAGTTAGGAGGATATTGTAGTTGTCTGGGTAGGAAGTGATGAGGGATCTACCTGGGATGGTAACTGTGTGAATGGAGAAAAGGGGACACATAGCAGAGTGAAGTATAAGAAGACTAGAGAGGTAGGACAGGGCCAGGTTATTATTGGTGATGATGATGATAATAACAGTCATAATAGCTAGCATTTATGTAATTCTTTAAGGTGGTCAAAGCACTTTATATGTGTTATCTCAATGAGATCTTTAATCTATTTGGTCCTGGAAGAAAAAGAGAGGAGTTTATATAACAAGAAAGTGACATGGTCAGACCTCTACTTTAGAAGAATCACTTTGGCAGATGAATGGAGGGGGAATTGAACTGGGGAGAGACTTGAGGCAGACATACCAGTTAGAAGGCTATTCCAATAATGTGCTTGAGAGAAGGCCTGTACCAGGGTAGTGGCTGTGTGAAAGGGGATAAAGGGCTGTATATGAGAGATGTGAAGGTAGAAAAAATAAGATTTGGCAACTGATTGAATATGTGGGGTGAGTGTAAATGAGAAGTTAAGGATGACCTCAAGGTTGATGGCCTACATGACTAGGAGGATGATGGTGCCCTTGATAGCAATAGGGAATTTTGGAAGAGGAGGGGCGGGTTTTGCAGAAAGATAATGAGTTTACTTTTGGACATGCTGCATTTTGAGATGTCTATAGAACATCCAGTTTGGGATGTCCAAAATCAGTTAATGTGGCAGTGTAGGACTGTAGTTCAGGATAGAGACTAAAGTTGGATGGATATATATATATATATATATATATGTATATATATGTATATATATATGTACATGTATATGTATATGTATATATGTATATGTATATATGTATATGTATATATGTATATATGTATATGTATATGTATATATGTATATATGTATATGTATATGTATATATGTATATATGTATATATATATGTATATATAATATATACACACATATATACATACACATATACATATATACATATACACACATATACATATATATACACATATATATGTACACACACATACATATATATATAGGGGATCATCTGTGTAAAGGAGATAATTTTAAAGCTAGGGAGTAAAGGGTATCTGGGAAGAGGGTTCGCTGAGAGATTAAGAATGATGAGTGCTGAGAAAAGGCCATCAGATTTAGCAGCTGTGAAATAGTTGGTAACCTCTGGAAGAGCTCTTTTAGCATGATATTCCAGTAAGAAGTCATGTTGCAAGGGGTTGAGAAGTAAGAAAGTGGAGATGAGTTTAGATGGCTTTTCTAGGAGTTGATTGGGAAAGGGAGAAGAGGTATAGGCAGACATTTTGAGAAGACAACAAGGCTAAAGGAAAACTTTTTAAGACTAGAGAAGACCTGAACATATTTGTAGGCATCAGGTAACAGAGAATGAAAAATGGGAAAATAAAGAGATTAGTCTTGGCAAGAAAGGTCCTTTGTTTCTCAAAGGCAAGAGCAAGAAAAGAGAGATTGAGGGTTAGCATAGAGGAGAGAAGGGAGCTCACTTATTGCTTGCTTCAGTAAAGTAGAAAAGGACCTTCATTGAAAGGGAAAGAGATGGTATAGAGGGAATCGAGGGAAAAGAAGCATTTGAAACAGCTAATTTGGGGATAGAGAGAAAAGGGGGACCAGTAAGAGTTTGCTCTGAAGGGAGGAGTTGAGATTAGATATGTACCTAGATGACAGATGGTGGGTAACCAGAAGGCTGGGAGATAAGTTCAAGAGCTATGATAGGGCATAGGGAGTGCTGAATAGACACAGCCTGGTTAAAAGGAAAAGCTAGTTCTGGGTCTAGTGTGTAGGAGGTAGAATGTTGATGTAGAGTTTCCAAGCCCTACCCTAACACCTAGGGAATGTGACACCTCTAGGCAATGTCTCTCCACGAGTTGCTGCAGCATTTCTGATGGGGATGGGGAAGAAGGAGATGAAATTTTCCCCTTACAAATATATTTGGGCTTTTAAAGTCTTTATTCTGATTCCTTATCTTAGTGTAGTGGTGACTGTGGGTTCTTAGAACCTATGCCTACAGAGTTCAGCCTCTGGCAACTCCCATAAAATTGGAAAGGTAGGTTTCTAGTACTGTTTTGGAGGCAGATTTTGAGTCTGTCATCCTAGGACAGCTTATCTAGCCACAGAGAGGCTACTGGCTTGTTTGATAGAGAGAATACCTAAAGAAGGACCTTTGGAGTAAAAGGATGGGACAGAGAAAAGAAAGAAATGTAAGGGGAGGGGGAGAAAGAGAGATAGACATACAAGGAAGAGAGAGAAGTTGGGGGTGAGAGGGGAAAGAGGATAAAGAGCATCAGGAGAAACAACCCTCATAAAATAGGAGATGTAAGTAGGTAGTAGGAGAAAGGTACTAAGGAGAGAGAGGAAGAAGGAAAGATGAGGTCAGTAGATAAGAGAAGCTTAGATGGTTCTGAAGTGACAGTATTATCGATTACTCATTATATTCACATCTGCTGTTGGTTTCCAGAGTAAGTTATTAACAGTAATCAGTGTCACTCTGAAATTTTGATAAACTACTTACTCCCAAATCTCTTCTACCACTTTTTGCCTTAAAATCTTCTGCAGAATAGGTTAGCCATGAGGCCAGAAGGAGGAACTGTGATCTGGATTTCTGCTGAGAAAATGATGTCAGGGCTGCAGCATCTGAACCTGTCATATAGGGCCCTCTAGTGATAATCAGCATGGGAAATTATGGCAAAAGTAGTCAGTAAAGATGAATTCCATTATGTGTGGTGTGTTCCTGACCAAGGAAGGGAGGAAAGTCCATTCTAACAATGCATTTTAAAGCTATTTCTTACAGCAGAGTTTTTGAATTGCTCAGTTAGCTAGAACAATAAACTGACTTGAGCACCTTATTTCTTTTTCAGCTTTACTGTACTTCTCTTGGTATGGTTTTAATATAGTTATCTAAATAGTGGTTACTAATCCATTCTCTAGTTGTATTTTCATGTTGATTACAATCATCTGTTCATTCTGAGCCCATATCTATCCTGTTGCTATTTCTCTGTCAAAACATGCTGGACATTTTATTCTGCAGGCAGTGTTAGGTTTGAGATTTATGAAGTTTCAATATGTTGCCATCTTTCAGTCTGCTTAATTTTTTGTTGCCTTTGACTTTATTGAAAGCATGTAATGAATTTTGAATTGTGAACACTCTGGTTTTTAAAAATTTTCCACAAAACTGAGTTTTCTTAAGATAAATGGATGCATCTATCAATATATATGTGTGTGTGTGTGTGTGTGTGTGTGTGTGTGGTGTGTGTGTATATTTTTTTTTTGAGGCAGTTGGGGCTAAGTGACTTGCCTAGAGCCATATAGCTAGTAAGTGTTATGTGCCTGAGGCTGGATTTGAACTCAGGTTCCCCTGACTCCAGGGCCAGTGCTCTATTCAGTGTGCCACCTAGCTGCCCATATCATTATCTTTTTATGGAATAATTAAAACAGACTGCTAGGCTCTGAGGCTAAAGACTATTTTCTCAACTTTTCATTTAGATGAATGATAATCTTACAGCTTGCCCCTTTTCCATTTTATATTCGATCTTAATTGGTAAAGATTAGAACCGTATCACTTTTATATCTTGTTATTGTGAATTCTGAATTTAAGATTCAGAAATCTTAATTTATACTCATCGTAAGTTATCAAATGGGAAGTGGCAAATCCTGTTATGAGTATGACTTACGTGATGTATCTTTAGCTGGTTTAACCCACAAATGGAATGAACTGTCTTTGAGTGTATGAAGTTCTTGATCTAGAATGTATAATCATTTCTCAGACATGTTGTAGATAAGATTTATGCTTCAGTTTGAGATCAAATTTTTAATTACATTTTACTCTAATTTACTCTAATTACATTAGAGCTTATATGAATGAAATCTTGAGTTATGACATTTTCCCCCAGACTTTTCACTCAATAATGTGTACCACATCAAAATTATAGAAATATGCATTTTAATATGATCTAATTTAATGAGATTTTATTGCATAATCTGTGGTTTATCATTGAAAATTCTTTTATTAATTTGAAGTTTTCTCTGTAATCAAATTGAAAGAATTAATATAATTTTAAGCATTTTCCTCTTTTTTTAGAATGTGTCACGAGGAGCTGATGTTGATCTTTCGATGCTAAATGACGCTCGCCAAATGGTGACAGAACTAATGACGGATCCAGCCCTCCCCCCACATGTGATTACTTCTCTTCGAAGCATGGATAGTTTGATGGGTGCTTTCTCCAAATCATGTAGGCCAAATAGCAACACATTCCCACTGTTTACCGGGTTTAACCCTTGCTGTGAAATAGAGAACCCCGAAGAAAAAGATACAAAATCTAACAAGGTCAGAGAACTGTAGAATAAATCATATAGCCTTAAAAATAACTTCTCAATGAGATTTTCAGATGTCAGCTACCTTGAAAAATCTTGTACAAAATAGAATAATTTTGCAAAGACTAATTTTTAAAATTATATGTTAGAATGAATCTTCTTGATCTTTTCAGAGATATTTATGATGTACATTTTTCTTGTGTGTCATACTAGATAACTTGTCTGATGGTGAAATTAAATATATTCTTGATCTAGTGATATTAATCTTGGCATTTGTGACTTAAGTCGTAGTAACTGTTATTGTTTGTGTAGCTTCAAGGCTGATCTTGTACAAATTAAAATTTAGCACTACTTTTTAGAAATGTGTGTGTGTGTTTGTGTGTGTATGTCCATTTGGAAAACCTAAAGAGAATGATTTTTCTGAATTTTATAAAAGATAATTTGCAAAGTTTTTTTTTCAATTTATTGTCCTTTTGGTCCCAGGTTTTTTTTTCTGCTTATACTCATTGGTAATTACTATGACTTAGACTTTGTCCTGAAGAGGCAGAATGATATAGTGAATAGAATGCTGGATTTGGAGTCAGGAGGATGTGGGTTCAAATCCTGCCTCAGACACTTACTAGCTGTGGGACTCTGAGCAAGTTATTTAACTAACCTCTCTGTGCCTTGCTTTCCTCACCTGTAAAATGAGGGGGTTGAATTTGATGGCCTTCTGGGTCAGAATCTGTGATCCAGAATCGGCTTGTTTTTTTTTTCCATCATTAGATGTAGAAATAATCTGTCTCTTCCAGTATCTCACTGTGAGTTATTTTTTAAATAAGATTAAGTAGTGCCTTAACTTTTGAGATTTAATATACATGTAACCCTAACCCTAGCAAAATGAATGGCCATGCATCGTTAGTGTCAAGAACCATTTGATTTGCCAAAGACTTTGGCATGGAGGACTTTGTGGTTTGGTTCTTTAGTAGCTGTGGCTAAAGCATCTACACAGGCATCTGCCAGGATTTCAAGTTGCTTCTTTAGAAGATGATTGTGGGACTGGAAAGCAGGGCCGAGAGGCGGGAGAGCTTGTGCACAGTATCCTCAGCTGTCTTCACAGGGCTTGGAGATGGTTCGATCCTCTGGTGTGGGTTATTCCCTCTCTCTTTCTCAGGGCACTCTGCTGCTTTACCTATTCTAGCTTGCCTGGTTGATGGTGGTGGGATGCAAGGGGAGAACCTGTTCTCACAGGGTTCACTTTCCTGGATGGTAGCTGCAGGGCTAGGCTCAAAGCAGAGCTGAGTGCAGTTAGGATGAAGAGGCAAGCATGAGTGGAAGCCTCCTTTTTATTTTTTCCCTACTTTTATTAGACAGATAATGATCTTACTATATGGACTACTTTATTGTACCAAGAATATGTTGGCAACATTCCTTGTCATACAGCTAGGAAAATGATGTCTAGTTTTAGTCTGGTGGGATGGGAGACACAAATAGGTGATCCCCTTATTGTGAGTTACCCTGGTTTCTTTATGTGGCTTCATTGGTTTGGCATTGATCTGTTTTCTCTTTGATAGTGTCAACTGGACCAAACCGGCCTCTGATCAAGGATGGCCAGAGCTGAACAGAGCAGGTCAAGACAGGAGAGTCAGGAATCAAACAGAAGTCTAATTTCAAAGTGAAGAAAATGGCTTGCAAACAAGGAGGCAGATTAGACACACGAGCTGGGGCCCTGCTTCTGGTCAGGGGACCTGAGGCAGTGTGGGGAAACCTCACTAGTTATACCTATGGCTCCACAGTGAGCTGTAGCCCTGACAATGAGGGGTAACAGCAGCAGTGAGACCAGTTTGATTCATAGCAGGACTTCATGACTGGAACAAGGGTGCTTGTCCAAGCTCAGAACACCTGGTGCTGGTCAGAGCAATACAATAATTATGTGATTTTTGCCAGAGGGTGAGCACAAAGGATTGTGCTTATGTCAAGCTCAGGGCATAGCCTGCTTGCTGGGCGTCTCTTATTATCTTGACAATAACAATGTCCAGAGACTTCACAGGGATGGCTCTTGGGTTGCTGTGGATCTCTTCAGCCTAGTATTCCTTTCAAATGAAAACTCTGTTTGATTTCGCTGTCCTGTGACAAAAAGGTCTTTTTGTGTCCTGTCAGAATTGAGAAGAGAGGGAAATAGTCCAGCCTGAGGGAGCTGGTGACCTCCGAGACCCCTCCTTGGACTGGGATTACTGATTCCTCACCAGTAATGTCCAGAGACTCTTGCTAAGTTGCCTTTATTAGCCTCTCTGAAGTTAACAAAGGAGGCTAGGCCTAGTTACCAAGGGTTGGCCATGCTTTTCTTGGCCATGCTGGGCCATCCCTTCCACATGAAGTAGTTATTGTGTTGAGTACAGACTGGAAGATGAGACACAGACTTCCCTGTTTGGTATTTAAAGCCCTATATAGCCTGGCTTCAATCTGTATTTTCAGGCACAGGATACATTCACGTACGACTTTGTCTCGCCAAGATGGCCTTCTTCCTATGCCTCACACATGATGTTGCAAGCCTGTGGTATAGCCACTGTGTCCCATGGGATACCCTTCCACCTCTGCATTGTAGAATGCCTGGTTTCCTTCAAAGCCCATCTCAAGTGCCGCCTTCTGATCCTCCCCAGATGCTGGACCCTCCCCAAAACTGCCTGGTGTTTTGTCTATACTTATATGAATACAGATTGTGTCCCTTCATGACCACAGCTAGCACTTCTATGGCACTGTAAGGTTTGATAAAGAGATTTACAAATATCATCTCGTTTGATTTTCACAGCTATCTTGGGAGGTAGGTGCTCTTATCCCCATTTTACATCTGAGGAAACTGAGGCAGACAAAGGTTCAGTGATTAGACCAGGGTCATACAGCTAGTCCATGTGAGTCAGGATTTGAATGTAGTCTTCCTGACTTCAGGTCCAGACTCTCTCCACTGTGCCACCCAGCTGCTCTTTGAGAGAGCAGCTGTTTGTGTCTTTGTATCCCTCCTGTCTAGCACAATGCTTGGTACACAGTAGGTGTTTAATAAATACTTGTTGATGGGTTGATTGCATTTGTTTCCGAAGAAATAAATATTTATGCCACAGGCAAAGCATTTCTTTCTTCCTTTTCTCTCTGTCAATGTCCAGTATCTCATCTCCAACTGCCTTTCAGACATCTCAAACTGGGTGGCTGGTAGACATCTTTCATGTCAAAAACAACTATCTTTCCCCTTCTTATGATCCCTGTTGCTATAGAGGACAGTATCATCCCCCCAGTTCCTCAGGCTTGCAACGTATGAATCATCTTGTATTTTTCACTATCTCTCATCCTCCACATTGAAATTATTGCCAGGGTCTGTTGACTCTATCTTTGCAGATCTCTTGAATACACCCCCTTCTCTTCTCTGACACTGCCATCTTCCTTGTTCAGGCCTTTATGACCTCATGCCTGGATTACCTCAGTAGCCTGCTGGGGGGTCTGCCTGCCTCAAGTCTCTCCCCACTCCGGTCGATCCTCCATTCAGCTGCTAAAGTGATTTTCCTAAAATGCAGGTATGTCACCCCACCCTCTACTCAGTAAACTCCAGTGGTTCCTTATTGTTTATGGGACCAAATACAAAATCCTCTGTTTTGTGTTCAAAGCCTTTCTAGGGCCAGCCTAGCTCCCTCCTACCTTTGCAGTCTTCTTACACTTTATTCCCTGCCATATAGACCTTGATCCAGTAACATTGGCCTCCTGGCTGTTCCATAAGCAAGATGCTTCATCTTTTGACTTTGGGCATTTTTTCTGACTGTTCCTCCCTGCCTGGAATGCTTCCCCCCCTACTTTCTGCCTATTGGCTTCCCAGGCTTCCTTTAAGCCCTAGTTAAAATCCCATCTTCTACAGGAACTCTTTCCCAAACCCTCTTAATTCTAATGTTTTCCCTTTCTTAATTATTTCTTGTGTGTAGGGTGTCAGGCCTGGAGTCAGGAAGAGCTGAGTTAAAATTTCCCTCAGATACTTAGTAGCTTTGTAACCCTGGGCAAGTCACTTAACCCTGTTTGCCTCAGTTTACCTCATCTGTAAACTGAGCAGGGGAAGGAAGTGGCAAGCCACTCCGGTATCTTTGCCAAGAAAACCCCATATGAGGTCATGAGGAGTGGTATATGGTTGAAAGAACTGAAGAAAAAGAAGCCTGTTTGTACATAATACTTTGTTATCTTTCCCCTGTTAAACTGTAAGCTGCTTGAGGGGAGGGACTGTCTTTTGTCTCTTTTTTTATGCCCAGTACTTGGCACATAGTAGGTGCTTAATAAGTTTATTTATAAATTAATGCTTCATAAGTTTGGTTTATCGACTGAATATGTAGTAATTTAGAGTGGAGATATCGAAAATGTATTACTTCAGAAGATAATTATTACCAATCGGCAGCCAGGGATGAAGGGAAAGGAAAACAAGAAGCAAATTATCGTGTGTCCACCAGCTTCTTATATGCCAAAAAACAGCCCTGTTGCAGAAGCATATCCCCGACGTTGATTTGTTTCTTTTCTTAAAAGTTGATGCTAAAAGTTTAATTGCTAAAGTATCTTCCAAGATATGTGCTGGGGACAGTGTATTTTCAGCTCAGCTCTCCTGCATTGTCTTTAGCGGCAAATGACATTTAGAGTAATGGCTCTTGTGTACCGTAAGGCACTTCATCATCCACAAGAATTTGGTGATGTTTGTTGCAGTATTCATTGCTATGAAGTGAGGTCCGAAAAGGTCCTTACAACCATTAGGAGTGTTTCAACAATGAGAACCGATAGTTGAATCTCACTCCAGGTCTAGGCATTATTTAAGGCTAAAATTAGATTATTAGGAACTTGAAAATGTTTGAATGGGGGCAGCTAGGCGGTGCTGTGTATAGAGCACCAGCCCTGAAGTCAGGAGGACCTGAGTTCGTATCTGGCCTCAGACCAAACACTTGACACTTACTAGCTGTGTGACCCTGGGCAAGTCACTTAACCCTGATTGCCTAAAAATAAAAAAAAAAGAAGGGAAGAAAGGAGGGAATGTTTGAATAGGAAGAAACTTTAGAGATTGTCTGGGTCAACCTCTTTTTACAGACAAGGAAACCCAAACTTAGTGAGGATGAGGAAGTTAGCCAAGGCCCTGCTTGGAGCTGAGTTAGTGGGAGAGCCCAGTGCCCTCTCTGCTCTGTCATGCTTTCCCTCAAATGTTTTGATTTGATTTCTCTGCTTTTTAAAGTATGTGAAGAGATGAGGGAGAATTCACAGAAGGAAAAGATAAATGGGCTGTAGAATAGGAAATAATCGCTATGAGTGAGATGATCTGCTTAGGAAAGGAGAAGGTAAAGGAGCAACTTAATGTGGCCTTCTAGTACACAATAACTTTTTGACCCTCTACAGAGAGAACTAGACAAGATTCAGTGACCTTACTGTCAGAGACAGTCTGGATGGATGAAAAGAACAGTTTGATTTTAAGTGTGCCTGAGTAGTGCGATGAGCTTAGAGATGATTGTGGAACTCTTGTCTTCTATTTTTATTGATTCCATGATATTCCCTGGCTATTGAAAGCAGCAGTCTAATAATATTGGATGCCTTAGGCTTACGAAGTCTAATGCTTTACTGAAAACCAATTTAGAAAAAGGAATTACTTGACAGGTTTCTGTAGAGTTTCGTTATTATTTTCTTCTGCTGTGCCATAGTTGCAAACTATTCTACGGAAAGAGACTTTGAAGTTTTTAAGAATTCATAGCTTCTGCCTCCTGGAATGCTGTAAGTTATTTTGATGGTTTTAATTGCGCAGTGAAGCACAAGGAATCATACAGAGGAAATAAGCTCTCAAGAAACAGATCTGTGCTCTCTGTCATTGCTGAGGAAGCTGACTCCTGCTCCCTAGGCTGTTGGGAGAGGGCAGTTCTCCGGGGCAGTATTGTGATTGATGGAGGTCCGTAGCTGTTACGCTGTTAGACTGTCATAAAATATAACATATGATGATGCGTAAAGTACTTCTAATTAAGTCTTGGGGTCTCAGGGATGCTATGATGCATGTTCACATTCATTCAGCTACTCTTTATTCAGTACCTATTATTTGCACAGTTTAAACTGGGCATTCTACAGACATGCAGAACATGATTTAGTCTTTGTTCTCAGAGAGCACATGGTTTAAGAGAGAATGTGTCCACAAATAAAGGCAACCTAAGCAAAAGTGTTCAGGTGAAGGAAGAAGCATACTGTGGAGTTTAGAGCGGGGAGAGATCCCTTCCACGTGGCAGCAAAGGTGGTGAATTTCAATTACCATTGCATTTGGGGTGTCTGAGGTTGGACTGAGCTAGACCCAAAGTGTGCTTGGGAAGTGCGTTTTAAAAACAAATCCCTCATATCAGCTTGTTTTCTTGTTGATTGTCTCTTCTCCAAGAAGCAGAGTATAGAATGGGTAAAAGAAACTTCTAATTGTTCATCTTCCTATTCACTAGATTCTAGAGAAATCAAAATTTACTGTAATAATTATTTTAAAAGGAAGAAGAAAAATGGAATATGATAAAATGTGAAATTTGGGGGAATAATTAACTCAGTTCTAGGAAAGAGTATGATTTAATTTCTCTGTGGCTTGTTGAAAAATGTGTTAAACATGTGGATGTACCAATATATAGGTCATACAGTGTAATCATTTTAAATGTTGTTTAATTATTCAACAGACACCAAGTAATAGAAATAATGGGCTGATGCTACAACTAAGGAGACACTCGAGAACTTCAGGTCTCCCTCTGCCACCCCCTGAACAGTCTCCTTCACGAGGGGAGTGCAGCCCCAGAAGGCGCACGCTCCCTCTCCGACAACAAAGTGCTTCCAGGTAAAACGCCCGCTGGCCCTCCTCACCCTACCTAGTGCCGTTAACGTGACGTGCCCAGCTCCTTGACGCTCATGCCAAAGATGGGAATTCTGAATTGTGCTGGGGGGCATAGCCTCGTCTCCTCAAATGGACCAGTCATTGGTTCTGCTCCTCATTAGTCAGCTGTGTCCTTGAACTTTTCTGGGATTCAGTTTTCTCATCTGTAAAATGGAAAGGCTGCATCAGATGTTCTGAAAGGTTCCCATTTGTTTCTAGGACAAAGCCTTCTGCTGACCGTAGTTTACCTTGGCTTTGGACAGCCAGAAAGGACAGGCACTCTCCTTTGTTGCTGCTGCAGTTTAGCCTTTTCTGCTTTTATCCTCCATCTTTTCATCAAGCTCTTCCATTTCATTTGCGGAGGAAGTCCTGGTGAGGAAACTGCCTCTGTCAGTGCAGAGAAGCCACAGTTAGGCCATGTGGAGTCTGATGGCCAAGGGGAGTCAGGAGTTAATTGACTTGCTTTGGTTCACGGAGTTAATCTGAACCGGAGGAGAGTCAGTTGTCCATGGGCAGCTCCCTCACCTTACTCCAGACCACTCTCCAGTGACAGCTCTGTGGAGGAAAGACAGCTGCTAGTTTTTCAAGCCAAATTGTCTTGGTTAAAGTTAAGTTGTATTAAGGCTGTCTGTTATCCGTAAGCTCATGGAAGTAATTTGTGCTGCATGATTTGCCATTTGTCACAAATATAAAATCCTCTATTTGGCTTTCAAAGCCTCCTGTCATAACTTAGCTTCTTCCTCCCTTCCCAGTCTTCTTACACGTTACTCCTGTCTACTCCCAGTGACTCCAACTTGCTCTTCTGACTCCTGGCTCTTCTCTCATGTGACAGGCCAGCTCCTGAGGCCAAGCATCCCTTTTCTGCCTGAAATGATCTCCCTCCTTTTCCCTGTAGGTTATTGGAGGAATGCAAGGCTGAGGTTAGGCAGAAAGTGAGCATTGCTAGGACAGTGGGGCAAGGGATTTGAGAGTAAAGTTGGGGTGAAGAGTTGGTATGGGGTACAAGGAGGCTGAGGAATTGGAAGGTTAAGGAGTTTAAGGAAGCATCAATAGAGATATTAAAACCCCCTCATTTATGGGTAGGAGCTGGAGTAAAGAGGACAGCATTGACCCAGGTGCTGAACTCCTTGAGGAGATAGGGAGGACAGGGTGGGAGCTGGTATACACCAGATGCTGTGATCTGGATTAATTGGAAAATTTAAATTAAATAAACTTCAAGGAAGGAGAGGTTGCAGACTGTTGGTGGCAGAGGGGCAGTCTGGAATTTGCAGTGAAGAACAGTGTGCTAAGGGGGGTGGGGGTGTAAGTGAAGGTAAAACTAGTGTTAGAATGGCCTGGGATGCGGTGACATGGGGGAAGCTAGGTCTCCATGAGAGCAAGAAAATGTCAGGTAGAGAGGACTGAGAGATAACTTTTTAAAAAATTGGCTATTTAAGAAAATTAGTAAACTTAAAAAATTAATCTATCCCTCCCTTTCTCACATTTAGCAATTAAAAAAGAAAACCCCTAAAATAAAGCCCTGGGTATGCAGCAGCATAGTCTGGCAAAAACAGATTCCTATATTAGCCATTTCTGGCTCTTCCTCCATTTCCAGTTCATCACCTCTCTTTCAGGGGGTGAGTAGTATATTTCATCTTCATTCTTTGGGACTCATGGTTTATTATTATGTTGATTAGAGTTTCAAGTCTTAAAGTTAATTTTTTTGTTTTTTCTCCTAGTTCCTCTCCTTCCCTCTGCATCAGTTCTTAGAGATTGTTCCACTTTCCTTTGAAATTGTCCATTTCATAATTTGTTAATGGCACAATATTATTCCATTACGTTCATATTTTGAGCGTAATTCATTTAGCCATTCTCTAGTAGGAGTTTATCAATTGTTGATTACCACTAAAAGAGCTATTAATCTTTATGTAAGTATAGGTCCTTTTCCTCTTTCTTTGAATTGGGATGTAGGCCTAGCAGTGGTATTTCTAGGTTAGAGTATATTCATAGTCTGGTAACTCTTTGAGCATAAGTTTCAAATGGCTCTCCAGAACGGCTGGACCAATTCATAGCTGCACCTGCTGTGCACTAGCATGCCTGTTTTCCTACAGCCCCTCCAACATTTGTCATTTTCCTCCTTTGTCATTGTTGTCAATCTGATAATGTAATGTGAAATCTCGAAGTTGCTTTAATTTGCATTTCTCTCATTATGGTTAGATTAGTACAAATTAGGCTAATTTGAATCATTCTAATTAGACATTTAAAGCTTTTTTTTCCCCCATATGCTTGTTAATAGTTTGTATATCTTCCTTTGAAAACTGTTGTTTTGTTCCTAACCTCTGACCATTTTTCTATTGGGTCTTCTTATTCTTTTAAATTTGAATCCATTTCTAATGTAGGATGTCTCAAAAGTCTTAGCATAAAACCACAGTAAGACTTTTGGGATACACTTTATAGCTTGGGAATGATACCTTTATCGGGAAATTGTTGCAAAGATTTTTTTCCAGTTCATTTTTACTGCATTTGTAGTTAGCTAGCACTTTTATGTACCTACTGTGTGTCAGGCACTGTGCTAAGTGCTGAGGATACAAAGGAAGGCTGGAAAAAAAAGTCCCTACTCTCAAGAAGCCCATAATCTATCTAATGGAAGAGCCATGGTGCAAACAATTATGTACACAGAAACCATATGCGCACGTGCTTGCGCGCGCGCACACACACACACACACACACACACACACACACACACACACAAAATAGGGTAAATCGTAGATAATCTTAGAAGGAAGGCACTTGGATTAGTGAAGACCGGGAAGGAGATCTTGAAAAAGGTGGGACCTTAGCTGAGACCTCAAGGAAGCGAAGGAATCCAGAAAGCAGAGATGAGGAGGGAGAGCTTTCCAGGCACGGGGAACAGCCGAAGGAAAAGTTGGGAGTCTGGAGATGGTGTGTCATAGGAGAGGACAGCAGGCAGGCCAGTGCCACGGGATTGCAGAGTACCGAGAAGGGTAGAATAAGATATAAGAAGACTGAAAAGGTAGGACGGAGCCAGGTGATAAAGGGCTTTAAAAGTCAGACACAGAACTTTACATTTGCTCCTGGAGATAATAGTAGAGATCCACTGGAGCTTACTGAATGGGGGCAGTATGGTGTCATGGTCAGACCTGTGCTCAAAGGAGGGAGAGACTGATCACAGGGAGACTGACCAGCAGTCTTTTGCAGTTGTCCAGGTATGAGGTAATGAGGGTGTGTCCTGTGTGAGATTTAGAACTGTTTGGGGAAAATCTTTTTAATTTTATACAATCAAAACTGTCCATTTTAGCCATGATTCTATTGCTTGTTTAGTCATGAATTCTTTACCTTACCTATTCATAGATCTGAAAGGTAATTTCTTCCTTGCTCCTCTCATTTTTTTTTAATGATATGCCCTTTTATGACTGGGTCATGTTTCTATTTGGAGCTTATCTTGATGCATGATTTGAGGTGTTAGTATAAACCTAATTTCTGCCAGATTACTGTCTTACATCATTATGTTACTGCACTTAAATAGTGAATCCTTCCCCAGTAACTGGTGCCTTTGTGTTTATCAGACGCTATGCTTCTTTGTTTATTTGTTTTTGTATAACCTGTACCTAATCTATTCCATTGATCAGCCTCTCAGCCTCTCTTTTTTTAACCAGTACCGAATCATTTTAATGATTACTGCTTTGTAGTACAGGTTAAAGTTGGTACTGATAGGACTTTCCTCCCACCCTTTCCTTCCTGCTTTTTTTTCATTACTACCGTTGAGATTCTTGATGTTTTGAATTTTATTTTTTTTCTAATTCTATAAAATATTCTTTTGGAAGTTTGGTACAGCACTGAGTGAGTAAATTAAGTGTTAATTTCATTTTATTATATTGGCTCAACCTACCTATGGACAATTAATGTTTCTCCAATTATTTAGTTCTCTGTCTTTATTTTGCAAAGAATATTTTATAGTTAGATTCATATAGTCACTGGGTGAATCTTGGTAGATGTATTCCCAAATATTTTATAACTTCTCTGGTTAATTTTTCTCCTGGATTTTGTTGGTCGTACATAGAGATACTGATGATTTATGTGGACTTTGCTGTATACTGTAACTTTGGTGAAGTTGTTATTTCAATTAATTTTAATTGACTCCTAGGCTTCTCTAATGCATCATCATATCTATACAAGTGATAGTTTCGTTTCTACTTTGCCTATGCTTATTTCCTCAGTTTCTTTTTATTGTTTTATTGCTCTAGCTACTATTTGTATCATTTTGTGAAACAACAGTGATGATGATAATCTTCCTTGCTTTATCTTATTGGAAAGGCATCCATTTTTTTTTTTGCTATATGTAGTATTTACTCTTGGATTTAAATAAATACTACTTACTATATTAAGGAAGGTTCCATTTATTCCTATGATTTATAGAGTTTTTAATAGACACAAGGGTTGAATCTTATTGATGCCTTTTCAGCATCAATAAGAAATGTTCTTATAGTTAATATTGCATAGGATTCATGCAAACTCAGGTTTGTTGTACAAGATTATCTGTCATAGAGAAATCACCATAATCTTGTTGACAAAGCATTTTTCTTCTTGTGAATATAAAGAGAATCCTATAATTTTATAGCTGGAAGCAGCCTTAGAGATCATTTTAATCCAACCCTCTGATTTTTATAGGAGAAAATGAAGACTGAGAGGGGACTTTGCAAAGGAGACATAATGGATCAAGGCTAGATGCCAAGTCTTTTGATTCTCAGTCTGATTTTCCTTTCCACTCTACTCTGCTTCTTTACCTTTGGTATACAGAACCTTTCATTCAGGTGGTGAAAATCAAATTAACATCTGAGCTGGGTCGGAGGCAGAGATGCCCTTGCTGATGAGACAGAGTCATTTACCCAAACACAGCTGTGACCCTCTACAACCAGCATGAGCCCCTTACTCCAAGCCTCTTACTCCTGTTTAGGGGGAAAAAAGTTAAGCCATGTTCTGAGCTGGAGGGGTTTGACAGTCACCTCTTCTATGTCTAGCACACCTTCTCTTCCTCCTCTCTGAATCCCTGTGACTCAGAATCAGAGGTGGCCTGGGTGAAAATTCCCTTCCTCCTCTGCCACTCCTACCTATTTTCTGTACCTAGCCCACTGTGGCCTTATGGATCTCCTGATCAGTTGTTAATAAATCATCTTTCATGTTAGACCTCTTCCTCTCATACTCTTTTCCATCTTCTTTGACTCACAGACACTTCCCTTCCCACAACATATTTCGTCCCTAGCCACCTCCTTTAATACTGGATATACTTTTATTCTCTTCCCACATCAGCTCACATACACACTCACTGAACTGGAAGGAGGAGGAGGAGGAGGAGGAGGAGGAGGAAGAGGGATACTGCTTGTTCCTCTCTGCCACTTCTAGACCCTCCCCAGTCTCCATCACTCAGCCATTTTTCTTTTGAAGTCCCCTTCATGTGATACTCAAAGTGAACCTGAGTCCTAGAGCTCAGATTGGGTGATTCTTTTGGCCCGCAAAGAGTCAAGCAGCAGCTCTCTTCTGGTAGGAAATAGTCCTTTTTCACCCCATCTCCACTTGCTCTTTGTAAATGAAGAGGAGGGAAGGTAACAAGCATTTATTAAGCACTTACTGTGTACTAGACACTGTGCTAAGCACCTTACAAATAGTATTTCATTTGAGCCTCAGAACAGCTTTGGGAGGTAAAATAATTATCCCTATTTTACAGATGGGGAAACTGAGGCATATAGAAGTTACGAAATTGGTCGAAGATCACTCAACTAGTGAGAGTGTCTGAGACAGGTCTTCCCAATTGTAGGCCCAGTGCTATATCCACTGTATCACATAGCCACCACCTTAGCAGGAGGAAGGGTACCTGAGAATTTTGCTGGTCCCACTCTTGGGCTATAGCTTAAGAACATTAAAGAGAGAAAGGAATGTTCCATATATGTGAAAATTTAGCAGCATTTTTCTGTGGTAGCAGAAGACAAGAAACAGAATAGGTGTCATTGATTGGAGAATATTGTAAATATTTGACATAAAAATAATGAATGTGAAGAATTGGAGCATCAGGAGAATGTGTTTAAATTAATGCACAGTGAAGCAGCAGAACCAAGAACACCCTGCCTACTGTGACTCTCCCTAGGAGAGCAGGATTCTAACGCTGCGCTGCATTGAGTGCTGGGCCCTCTGCTGACCCGGCAGGCCCCGGGGAAGAGATGCAGAGAAGTGCATGTGGGCCCCCCCCCCGCGTTGTTTGGAATGTCACATGTACTGGCTTAGGAGGTGAATGTGGCAGTTGGCTTTGCTTAACTGTTCGGTTTTTTTAAAATCTTTGTTCCAAGGGAAGGCTTGATGTGGTAGGGAGAGAGGAAGCAGCATGTGTGGAAATGAATGTGATGTAAAAACAAAAGATATAATTTTTTAAAGGAGTCATCTTATGTGCTTGTATGTGATTAAGCACTCCAGAATCCTCAAGGAAGAACAGTGATACTCTACCAGTTACAGAATCATAAAATGTTCAGAGTAGGAGGACCTTAGAGATAACCTCATCCCCCTCCTCTCCTTTTGTACAGGTAATAAAATTGGGGCTCAAAGATGAAAAATAATTTGGGCAAGGTCTTAGGGCCAGAAAGACAGAGACAGAGGGATTCTTAGGAGTCATTTACTCCAACACTCTCATTTTACACATGAGAAAACTGACTCCCAGAGAGTAAAGTGGTTTTCCTAAGGTCACTCAGGGATTAGTGGAGCCCCTGACAGCCTGTGGCCTCTCCCTGTAATGTTCGACTTCCCAGGATGCACAGTGGGTCATTGGTAGAGCTGGAGATCTAATCCAGATATTCTGATTCCAGTCCAGTGATTTTGATCCTCCATGGCCACTGTCTGGAGAGTTTATTTTCTAGTTACTGAAAATGAAAAAATTACAGAGTATGCAAGTACAGATAGTGACAATTCCTCTTGGCAATCATTAATCAGTGGGATAATGGATTTTATGTAAGTCCTGAAATGGAGTATATGCTAAGATTATCCACTTGCCCTCTGCCCTCAGCTATATAAATTTTTACTTTAATTTCATATGTTAATAAATATATTTCATTTGGTATCTATTAATGTCTAGGTGAGTGGGGATCCTATATCCTAACTTCATTAACTAATTGTCGTTTCATTTGGTAGATCTTTGGGTCCCTAGGAAAGCAGAATCTCTGGGCACAAAAGATCATAGGGAAACCCAGAGTGAGCAGGAAGCAGAGGGACCATTATAGAAGTAGAATCACAGTGTCAAGGGGCGTGAAAGGTCATTGAGTCCAATTGCTGCTTGAGCAGGTACTTACCTTGTATTCTTCTCCTTTTAGCCTAGAATCTCCAGATTCAAATGTATTTACATTCCCAAAGCAAAGGTCATCTTCAGTAACCTTGACTGACTGTAGGAGTCCTCTGAGATCTGGTAAGAAACTGATCTTTGTGATTTAAATATAGGGATCTTTAGAAAACATAACATTTTCGGGAATTGTTTCAGACCCTCTTTTCCTGTATTCAAATCACATTGCTTAAAAATCTATGTGACTCAGCAATTTATATTGCTTTTTATTTGGTCATGGGAAATTTGTTGCTAAGTTGCATGATTATAGTTCCAGTAAGGTAGTATCCTGCATTTGGGAGAAGAATAAAGGTGAGAGGAATTCCCCAGAGAGGTAATAACCATCCTCTTCTTGCCCCACTCCATGGAACAGTAATTATGGGGAGAAAGTTCTAGTAAAGTAGTTTGGGGGAGTGAAAAACCTTATTTTCTCCTGGTTGGTCCCTATACCTAAACTTGTCAGTTTAGAGTATTTTTCTCTGAATTGAAATATAAAGAAGCATTCTTTAAAAAAACAAAAACAAAACCTTTCCATTATCCAGGATAATGAAAGAAGCCATACTGTAAATGATGGAAACATCAGACTTTTATATTTTACTTTGTAATGTATTGTTAGGATTATGAGCTTACTGATCTTATGGAAATTCAGAAAGCTAAAGCTAAAGTAATGAGGCCATATTCAGAAGACTCAATTTAAGAGTAACTAGAAGGTTTTCCAGATTTCCCATTTTATCTCTCTTCTCAGAACTTTACTGTGTTACTTATTCCATACTGCAGGTTAATTATATAAACTTTAAGACATGCAAAACACTAGCCTAGGATGTTCTGCATTCCCATTCCCTCCCTGTGGCCATCTTTCAGGTTCATAATCATCCAGCAGATCAATGTGGCAGCTTCATTTTATTAATGGGCTTGAAGATTTGGTATCTTTTGTCACATTAGAATGAACAGATAGCACTGCTGAGCTGGGGGGAAGTGGGGTGAATCTTTAGAGAGTCTCATAAGCTAGGAGCCCCAACCAGCTCTTCTCTTCCTGGCCCCACCCTGTTACTATAAAAGTTGAAAGTATCCAACTGTAATTCCAGAAATGTTGAAGTCAAGTGTCACATTCCTTTTGGGGCAGTTAATGGGACTTGGGACTTCCCTGGTGATAGCACTATTCATTGTCCTGCCCTGAATATACAGGGTGTCCCAAAGTCTTAGTGCAGATGTTGAGGCCACCCTGTAGTCATTGCTTCCGATAGTCCTTTTTCTTGATGGGAAAATGGTTTGGACTGTTAAAGAAAGAGGCTTCATGCTATGCTGAAGATTGTTGGGGAGGAAGAATAAAAAAATAATGCCATGAATAGTATCAGAGTAGGACTTGTCGTCTCTGCTCATGGGACCTTAAAAATAGGATTCAGCTTTGGTACTTGCTGTGTGAATAATTGATCTAGTGCTAGGAAAAATGTGAAATGCCCAGACCACAGTATGAAACAGATCAATGTGTGCCCCCTGGAACGTAGGTTTTAGGCCGCCTCCTCTTCTCTCCCTGTTCTGGGTACCCAGTCAGCAATCATTGATAAACAGAAGAGTGGCATGTTCTGCTGGAGTTCCAAGGGAGCTCCAAGTAGAACGTTGGTGTCTAATGCCCACGTGCCAGGTGCAGTCTGTATCGTAGATACTTTAGCTTCTTTAAAGAAAAGAATTTCACAATTAATTTTTTTTTTAGGTGCTTCACTCAACCTGAATCCTGTGAGTTCACCTAGCCATGAATCAATGTTTACTGGTTCCCTAGTTAACCGGTCACCCGTAGGATTTTCTGACACTGCTGATTTTCTTACTAAGCCAAGTGTTACTTTACACAAATCTCTGGGGAACGCACTTAGTACTCCAGATTTGCCTCAGCAGTTTAGAACTTCTGGTAGCCATATATGTAACAGGTAAGCCCCATAAACTTTTACTTATTTTATTATGAAGATACAGATGCCATTTTGGTCATTGTACCCATGTACATTTTTCTGTTTTCTCATAATAATTCCATAATAAATTAGATGTAATCCTGTGTGCAGGGTAACAGTTCTGTTTATGGATTGTTTTTATTCTATCATCTCATTCATATTACGTAGACTTTATCCATTTTCTAATGAAAGTACCTACCTCTGGGATGAAATAAAAGGACAGTTTTGAAATGTTTCCATTTAAAAGTTAGGATCAGTGAATAATAACATTATAGGACAGCAGGAAAGTTTTGAATGGGGAATGGAGGGATCTCTCAGGCAGAGTTCCTTCACTACCTCTCTGGTGGTTTAGATCAGAGCACCTTGATGCTCGCTAGGCCCTGGGACTGCCTTTGTGTTAGCCAGACCCCAGTGCTGGGGAAGCCCTTTCTTTTAACAGGCATCCAGTTTCTGCATGTCAGAGCAGGTCTGGTCTTCTAGTAAATCCTGGATGTTCAGAGTTACTTCTTTTTCAGGAATAACCTGGGGGTGCCTGGCCCTTCCCCTGGCAGGTTGTAGTGCTCACTCCAGGGGTTCCTCTTGGCCCTTTGCAGTATTGTTTGGCTCCTCATATCTCTTCACTTGCTGAAACAAAGGAATGAACCACTGCCATTCCCCTCCCTCAGCTGGGCACCTTGAATGGAGGCTTCTAGTAAAATAACCTTTATTCCCACTTCTGCTTTTTTTCTTCCTCTCCCATCTCCGGTTCCTCCTTCAAGGGGGGAGTGTAAGAGGTGACTCATAGGAGACAACAGGGCACTACAGCTAATTTCTCAATCAGCTTTCTCCTGGGTTTTTTCCTGGTAGTGCAACTCCTTTGAGTGAGATAACTAGCACAAACAAATAACAATGTGAGTTGAAGTATGCAGTTATTTTCAGCTACAAAATGCCTCATACACCTTAGTATTTGATCTTCACTACAGCCTAGCGAGGGAGGCAGACTGAGTAGTGTTATTCCTTTTTAAATTCAGTTCCTAACGCGAACAGGACTCAGCAGATTTAAACACCACGTCCATGGGGGCACAGCTAGTGGTGGCCCTCTGGCCCAGGTTTGCTGCTTCTTTCTCCCACGTTGCTCTCTTTGAAAAGACTGAGCTCCTCATATGTCTTTTAAAAGCTGTAGGGATCTGCATTCCATGTGTCCTTTGGTTTAGGCTTGGCCTGTCGTGCCAACCATGACTTCTGTCAGACCCACAGCTGCTGCGGTTCCTTTGGCTGTTTGATATGTCAAAGGCTGAGGGCTGGATTTCCCTCGTAAATCTGCAGAAGCAAGTTACCAGCTGGAGAATGGGAGAAAAGGTCTCTGGGGAAAGCCCTGTAGCTGTTCAAGGGGCCTGCAAAACCGACAACTGGCCCTTGGGTTTGGTCCAAACCCGGGGACCGCTTGTCCAGTGTGGCCTTCTCCCTGACCTGTAATTGCCTGTAATTAGCATGTGATCGCTCCAGTTGTGGATGGGTGGTGAATAATCTTATTGAAAAGTACCCATCCTGCCTCACGTGGGCCAAGTCCCTCATTCACTGCTACGATGGTAGAAGTTTCCTGATACCCCGTTTTAATTCTAGCAGTGTAGTGCATGAAAAGCTCTGAGATTGGTTGAGTTGGGAGCTAACTCTGCATCGAGGCAGGTAGTTGACTCTCTCCGAGCCTCAGTTTCCTTCTGTGGATAAAATACTGACACTGCCACCTTCCCAGGAGGAAGTTTGAGGCAGCTAGGTGGTGCAGTAGATAGAGCACTGGGCCCTTGAGTCAAGAAGACCTGAGTTCAAATGCAGCCTAAGAGAGTTACTAGCTGTGGGACCCTGAGCAAGTCAGTTATCCTCTATCTGCCTCAGTTTCCTCAACTATAAAGTGAGGATAATAATGGCATTTACCCTCCCAGGGTTGTTGTGAGGATCAAATGAGATAAAGTTTGTAAAGGCACTTAACACAGTGTCTGGTACTTTGTAGACACTATATAAATTCTTGTTCTCCTCCTTTCCCCCCTTTCCCCCAAATGAAATACCAAATGCAAAAACACTTCCTGTTCCCAGGAGTGGGAAGCATGTTATAATGGTCTCTACAAGAAAAGGTTGTGGCTGTAGGTGAATTTTTCACTGGGTTTAGGTGGGAAAGTAAAAATATTTAGATAAAAAAAATAAGAGAAATAGCCTCATGATGTACCTTTATCTAATTTATTTCTTAAGTTGTGGACGTGAGGTACTGAAGCATGTTTCAATACATGAATCTGAATATGATACAGATGACCAGGGTGGAAAACCAGGTGAGATTTCAAAAGATATGTACGCTTAATAGTGATTAATTGTATTTTTTTTCAGTTGGTCTAAAATTAAATGAAGAAATGATTTGTTAGTATGTCTTGCAAGGGCATGAATATCATGCTAGAATTTTAAAATTCTTGCTGCTGAGCAATCAGCAAGTGGAAAGCCCTCTGTAGCATTGTAGAGAACAAGGCCCTGTCATTGTTAGTCAGTGTGTAATCAAATGAGGACCTTAGATGTGTGAGAGGAAACTGCATACAGGCCTAGTAAGTCAGACCTAGTAGAGGGAGAACCCTTGACTGGAGCAGACCCATGGATCATCATTCTGTAATAAATCCCTTCCATTGCTGATTCTCAGTGAGATAAGGAGAAGGCCTGGAGTGAGAGCTTGAGGAGTCTGGAGAACTGGACTCTCTAAGCCAACTTCTGTCAACTCCAGGCAAATAATTTAACTTCTTTGTATTTTAGCTTTAGCCTTCTGCAACACAGAATTATGTTTTATTTGCTTTGCAGGATTTTTAGAATGGAAATATCATAGAGAATGTGAATTATAGATTGTAAAAAATCTGGGCAAAGACAAGATAACATTATTACTATTAATAATAGCAATAATAAATATTTGAATTAATTTTATTTACATTGAATTTGGGGCCTTTATGTGTGTTTTTAGTATATGTAAGTGCGAATTTTTTGAATATTTTTGCTTTTTGGTGTAGAGAAAATTTTTTAAAAATTCTAATTATTTTATAGCCATGAAATAGTATTTCAAAAGAAATTTTATTTATAATGATTATCACAGTGTAAAATGATTAGAAAAATGAGCATTCATGCTTCTATAATAATGGCGATGGGAGTTTAAGGAAATAATTTTTATAGAGTACTTGTTAGAGGAACTAGGACAGATGTGATTGTCCTAGCCAGAATTGTATTTCCAGTATGGTTTGCCTCTTGCCCAGTGGGAATGTGGGCTGCTTTCCCTTGCCCTCAGTTGGTATGTGCTAAGGAATTGTGCATAAAACTGGTCACAATGAAGAAGGCTGTTTTATGAGAAGAAAATCATAGATGGCATTCCAAATCTAAATAATTTTTATACTAAATAATTGAAAATTGACTGATTCCGCCCTCATAGTCTGATGACTTTATTTTTACATGTTAAAAATTATGTTCTCCAACGTGAAGATGGTGATTCGCTTAATGGAATTGTCATTATCAGTTATTGAGACCACTCAGTGGATCAGAGTCCAGCTTTTCTTTCTCATAGGAGATAGACCAGAAATTTCAAGTCAGCCAGTTTTGTAGAAGAAAGTACATTTTAATTCAGTGGATTGGCTGTTGTTGTGTTGACTTGAATCTTTTTTTTTTAAATAAATGAAATTTAAATAACATTGTGCTTGGAACTGTGCTTAGAAAATTAATGTCACCATTTCTAACTGACTAAATGTTTTTCATTCTTCCCAAACTAGGCATTTTTTTCATTCTCATATGTACAAATTAAGCTATTTGTGGGAAAGATTCCTTTGAGACCTGAGGCTCTCTTGGGAAGCGATTGTGAATGCGCTCTGGTAACAGTCCATGACTTAACGTAGTCTAACTAACAGTTATAACCAAATTGAGACATAACAGAAAAACGGCAGTCTTTTTCTTACCAAATTGTCTGCAAAGGTTAAAGTAAATATATGTATTACTTCTGATTTTATCTGTTTCTTTGAAAGTTGAAGAGGGAAACATCAATATTAAACAAGGGCCAATCAGAGAGTCTGGGGACGAGTCAGAACAGGAGCCAGACAAGAGACTGGACAGAGAACTGAAGGAGGAGGAAGAGGAGGGAGGAAGAGCAGAAGAAGAGGACCTCGAAGAGGCCCAGTGTGAGCCCTCTGATAAACCAGGAGGGGACTTAACTAATGGCCTAGTTAGGTACCACTCCCAGAAGGCCTTGGAGGAGGAAGATGAAGAGAAAGAAAAGGAAGAGGTTCATCAAGAAGAGATGCCATTAGGGGCACAGCAGAATAAAAACTCAGAGTGTCATTATGAAAATGCTGAGGTAACATTGTTTTAAAGAGTAGTGCTTTTTTAAATTCTGGAAAATTTGTGTGCCAGTGCAAATAATATGATGCTTTCACTGTAGCCACTTTTGGTTTGTACTTTTCCTGTGAAGAGCTCAAAATACAATGAGACAAAAAGGGAAAAAAACCCTTTTTTCTAGCTAACAACCCTAAAAACAGATATAAATATAGTATGTAAATATACATACATGATAAATTTTAAATAAAAATAATGAATTTCAGAATTCATTTAATGGATTTTTAGTATGAAAAGTTTTTTTATTTATAGAAATAATGCTCTATTTTCAATTAAAGGCTCCTAAAGTGGAGAGATTATCTCTCTAGTATCACCTGAATTTCCTAATGTTTAGAAGCCTTTAAAGATAATTTATTTAAAGTAATTTGAAGATATTATTCTGCCAAAATAAGAAATGATAGGAAGAGAGAATAAGGGGTGTGTGTGAGGATGGCATTTGAGAACATGATATTGAGGATTTGTAGCATCTGTTTGGGGTTGTAATGTCAAGATGAATTTATCACTTACTAAAACTAAAGTTTTCTTAGGTTTATAAATGTGTGTTTGCACACAGATAGATGAGGAGTGCTTACTAGAACTGATATTAAGAGAAGACCATGATGCACTAATAGCGAAGATGAACAACTGGAATTTCCCCATTTTTGAAGTCATGGAAACAATGGGGGGAAGATCAGGAAGGATCCTGAGCCAGGTTTGTTATTCTCTGAAGAAATACTGCATATTCAGAGCTCTGGGGCTCCGAGCTGGGAGGGACTGTGGAGGTCACTTGGTCCAGACTCCCATCCAGTCTGCACATCTCTTGATCAGAATGGTGATCAAGAGCTTCCATTTAAATAGCTTCAATGACCCAACAAGGAAGTTCATTCCATCTTTGCACAACTGAGTGGTTGTCAAGTTACGTATTCTTTTGAGCTGAAATAAGCCTTCCCTCTAACTTCTGCCTGTTGGTTCAGGTTCCATCCTCTATAGTAAGACAGGGCAGCATGCCCACCTCTGTTTTCTAAATAATAGCCCTCATGTGGATGGGGAATTAAAGTTTGATATGTTGTCAGGGAAAGTCACTATATTGGAAGAGTTCTGTGTGTTGGAGGGTGAGGAGATGAGGTGACTATGTTATAAAAAATAAAATGTATAAGTAAAACATTTTTTCAAAAGAAATAAATAACAGCACTTTAAGCTGTTGTATCACCCTATGGACTTTCCCTCAGGCCAAACAGCCCTAATTTTTAAACTGTTGTTCCCATAGCTTCCTGGTCTCCTTTGACTGGCCTAATCCAGTTTATCAATGTTCTACCCAAAATGCACTAAAAATTAGACATGGTTCTCCAGATACGATCTTTTCAACAGAGTATGGTGGGGCTGTAACTTTCTATTGTCTGAACATTATGTCAGTGCAGCCCAAGTTTGTGGTAGCTTTTTTCTGGTAGTTTTATTGAACTGTTGTCTTATACCAAGCTTGTAATCAGTTTAAGTCCCCAGATCTTTGCCCTATATCAGCTACTGTTAAACCAACTCCCCCCCCCCCCCCGTCTATATTTGTGCCTTTGGCTTTTTTTGTTTTACCCTAAATGTTGGGTTTGACTTCAGATGGGGAAATAGAGGGCCAGCAAGAGGAGGGAAGTTGCTCAGGCTCACACAGCTAGAACATAATAGATCCTTCATTGAGTTTTAGACTCTTTTTTTTACTACATCTGGCTGCGTCCTGTAAAGGGACAAGCCCCAAGGGAGAGAGAGGTGGGAGAAGAAACAGAGAGAGATGGAGAGAGCGGGAGGGAATGAGCATTGAGGCTCCTGAGCTGTTTTGCTACAACAGTCTCCTTTGATGGTTGCTTTTACTCCAGTGTGCTGAGAACGTTAAAAACTTTTTTTTTTCAACTCTGTTCTGGGAGTGAGCACATGACCCTGTCTTCCCCCTGGCCTTTCCTTTGCTTTTGAGTGGCGTTATAGTGTACAAGTGTATCCTGATTAACATCTGTAATTGGCTTCTTGAAAATGTAATGGAAAATATAACACTGCAGGAAGATTCACTTCATGGGGTCTAGGGAGGATGAGCAGTAGCTGCAGTATTTGGTTGCAATGCATTGATGACATGGTGGCAAATTTTGGCTTAATGTCAGGAAAAAAACTTCCTAACAAACAGTCTACTGTAAGTAGACTGGCCTGTGGCTGGGAGTAGTGGGCTCCCTTCTCTTGGAAGTTCTTCAGCCAGAGTGGCCACTTGTCTGGTATGTTGTAGTGAGGATCCCTTTTTGGGTGGTAGTTGGAATTGATGGCCACTGGAATGCCTTCCAACTCCAAAATTCTGTAATTTTGTGATTCAGTGACTCATTGTTGTTAAATTTTACCTTATTAGCTTCAGCCCAGAATTTTAGCCTCCTGCAGACATTCTGAATCTTTATTCTGTCTGTCCTGTATTAGCCATCCCTTCCATCTTTGTGTCTTCTGAAAATTTTGTAAGCATGCCTGGTGTGGATTCTTCTGTGTCATTCTTTCGTTCAGTCATTGTTAATTTCCTGTTGTACTTATGTCGAGTGGCAGAGGAGAAAAGAGGAAGTTAGGATCTGCTAAAGCTTCACTCTCTACAGGAAGTTGAGACACAAAGATCTGTGTGCACCAGCCATAAGTCATCAATAAACATGTTGGATTGGTTAGGTCAAAGGACATAACAATGTGATGCTTCATCAAAAGACAACGTAGAAGTCTTTTAAGTGTTAAAACATTTTTGCTAACTTGTAAAAATATTTTTCTAAGATTGTAGAGTATAGCTCTAATTCAGAAAAGGCAACAATAGTCTCATGTGTAAATAATAGGATGCAAATGCAAAGGATGTCTGACATAATTGACTCAATGCTCATTGATGAGCTGTGCTAATGCCTGGGAATTTAAAGTTGTAACAAATGAGATAAGCATCTGAATTTGTTTAAATTAGCTATTTCCATATATACATGTATAATTTGGAAGATTTAAATTTTATGTAAAGTGAGTCTGATATTAATACTGTTTCAATTCATTTCAGCCATTAGGAGTCATTTACTAATTCTTCCGGTGTATAAAATATACTGGGCCTTGTAAACATATGACGGAAGATGAGTTCAGATCTGGCCTCAGACACTTATACTTACTCAGGCCCCATACCTTGATCCTGGGCAAGTTACTTAACCTGTTTGCCTCATTTTCCTCATCTGTAAAATGGAGATAATGATAGCACTTACCTCCCAGGGTTGTTGTAAGGGTCAGATAAGATGATATATTTGTAAAGCACTTAGCACAGTGCCTGGCACGTAGTAGGTGCTATGTGAGTGTTTGCTGTTATCGTTACCTGGTATCTTTTGGTATCACTATTCATTGGTATTGAATAGGAAACTTTAGATGCTATTTTGTTTTAACAGAAGCAGGTTGTCTGTGAGAGGATGATTTTTGTCCTTCATTTTTATCTTCTATTCTCAGGAAGTAGAACAAAATTGAAAAAGACATTTTCTGTCACATTGGTATAGTTGATAACCATTTTATTTAGTCGTTTTTTTTCATGTGTCATAATATAACTTGCTGACACTCCACCAAGATAAAGTAGAAAAATTTCCACATTCATTTAAAATACAATGTAAGTATATAAAAATAAGTATGAAATACTAAAGAAGAGAAAATACTGAATAATTTTTATCTGCTTTTAGTAATGCATGTTCATTTTCCCAATGAGGGAATTGCTTATTTTTAAAAATGGTTTCTGTCTCTTTATAGTTTTATTTGTAAAAGATTATAAGGATTAAGGCTTAGGTAAGACTAAATATGCTATTCTATAAAAAAAAAAAAGAAAAGAAATTCAAACCCAGTGAATGAGATTCTTAGTTAATTTCTCTCTTCCTCCTCTCATTCTGTTTTTAACATTTTGATGGAATCATTAGCATTTACAAATATTGTATTTCAGGCAGAAATTTTCCCCTTGATCTCATTCCGAAGATTATAAGGATGAGGGAATTGCTTATTTTTAAAAATAGTTTGTCTCTTTATAATTTTATTTATAAATATAAAGATTGTAAGGATATTGAACCTAAGTTTCGTTCTCCTACATTTTAAGGAATACAGTTGTATAATGATAAGGATATCATTATACCAAAGAATATATCCCTTTAGAGCTGGGAGGGACCATAGAGAACATCTAATTCAAACCCATACCTGAAGCAGGAACCCTCTTTAAATGTCCCCAGTATGAATCTTTCAGCTTCCACTTGAAAACCTCGAGAGATGGGAAATTCATTACCTTGAAGGGCATCGCCTTCCATACTGTTCTTGTTGAGCAGTTAAACATACTAATCATGAATTGTTAGATGTAGAAGGGAACCTTAATGGCCCTCTGTCCAACCTGTTCATTGTACAGAGGGGGATGCTGAACTCTATCAGTGTTCAGGCATCTGTTTAGTAGCAGAACCTACCTAAGAACCAAGGTCTCTTGGTTCTTTGCCTGGAGGTTTCCATCATAGTGGGTTCCCTCTTTAGGTCAAGTCCAGATTATTAATTTATTCCATTGTATGTACCTTTTCCCACCTATAGAAACATTTTATAAACTTCACATGAATTTGTTTAAAAATATAATCCAAAGCTGTCACAGGTAAGACTAAGTATGCTATTCTTAAAAAAAAAAAAGGAAATTCAAACCCAGTGAATGAGATTCTTAGTTAATTTCTCTCTTCCTCCTCTCATTCTGTTTTTAATATTTTGATGGAATCATTAGCATTTACAAATATTGTATTTCAGGCAGAAATTTTCCCCTTGGTCTCATTCCAAAGATGAAATGCTTTTGAAAAGCTGGCCAAAGGCTAACTTAGTTTTACCTTATTAAATATAGATAGATATAAAGCTAGATAGATTGATTGTGTTGAGAAACAGGGAATTTTCTGATTTTCAAAATTCTCTTACCTTTCTCTCTAGAAAGAGATAACATGGTATATTGGATAAATACTTAGCCTCAGGATCAGGTGGATTCAACTCCCTTCTCTGACATGTACTGGGCAGGGTGGCCCTAGACAAGTTAGGTAGCCTCTCGGTGACAGTGCCCTAGAAAACTCTGCCTGATAAGACTTGAAGTCACAGAATCATTGATGATCTACGTTGGTAGCATGAGTTTCTTCACTGGGAACTCCTGTGGATCTGTGATATCATCAGTGTCAGTGTGCTCTCCCGTGACATAGATTCTAATGTAGCTTCTCTGTGCCCTCTTGTAAGTTCAACCAAGTGGGTCCAGCCAACATGCAGGAGGCTCTTTTCACTTTCTCCTGAAGATGCCCTGACTGTCCAGGGAGCTACCCCATCTTCTTCTCCAATCATACATTTCCTGGATGAAATATTTTATCTTCTTCATCAAAGTTCCACACCTCTCTCCATTGCCTCCAGGTAATATTCTCAATTTTTTCAAGGCTGTCATATTCCATTTCTTGCTGTCATACAGCCTCACTTAGTGTTAAAAAGGTGGACCTTTTGTTTTTAGAAAAAGCTTGGGCTCCTTGAAAGAGCTTTTCATTTTCCCAAAAGCAATCCACCTCACTCTTCTCTTGCTCACCTTTGGGCCCAACTTGTCCCTCTTCGTGGTCTGCACACTGATAAACACACTGACAGATAAGTTCTCTGTGTCATGCATATAAATGCATGTCACGATTTGAGCAGTAGACCTTCTTCATCCACTTGGTCTTTTCTGTTTAGATGGTCAAGCCAAATTCTTTTGAATGGTTTTCTCTAATGATTAAATCATGTTTGCATCCCTCCAAAACCTGCCTATCTCTCCTCTCCAGATTATATGATATATTTGATATTGCAGTTTATATAGTCGTTCAAGGCTTTATCAAATGACTGTTCCACTAGCCAACTAGTTGCATGACTTTGGACAAGTCATGTATCCTCTCATTTTCCCCATTTGTAAAATAAATAAATTGGACTAGTTGACTGAGAGGTTCCCATGCAACTCAAAGAGTGAATTAGGGTTTACATATTCCCAATTTCTTTGTAGATGGTGCCCTCTGATTGTTTAAAATAATTTTTCTGGTCTTCCAAGATGACAAATTGGGGAAGAGGAGGTTTTAGTGAAGCACTGACTCAGCTTAATGATCTCATAAATAGAGTAACATTGCTATATCCAAGTGAAAACTAAAAAGTGACATGTCGTTAAATGAGCCATAGCTAGTTATAGAGCTTAGGAATTCTGATCCTTAAAATGAAAATTGTTTGAATTTATTCTTAGACTATGTATACCTTGTTTCAAGACACTGGTTTGATGGACATGTTCAAAATCCCTGTTCCAGAATTTGTGAACTACTTCCATGCATTAGAAAATGGCTACCGGGACATTCCTTGTAAGTATAAACTAGTATGTAATAAAACTTCAATGTAATTGAGTCATAAAGGGAAAGTACTCATTCAGAAATGGTTAGCTGCTTCAGATACTTGTAGTAGTTCTGAAAATGCTCAACCTGATCATTTTTTAAAGCATTTTTTCTTTAACATTTCTAAATGCACTGAAGTGTCTCCCTAAAGAATTGATTTTGAGGAGACTATGTGCTTCCTCATTTGTTTTTATAACAGGTTAAAATTTGAAAGTATGGGCATCATACTAAGACAGTAAATATATCATTTTCCCATTTCATAGGTAGGATAGACCATTGGACCTGTTTCCTCATACTTCCTTGAAATGATTATAACTTTCTTTTTTGCTTTGTGAGAAATGTTTAATGTTCTGGGAATTGAAGTCAGTCTTCTATGAACACGAATCTGATATTCTTCCACAGTCTTTCTACACCCAGGATTTTTGGTCTGCTTGTGTACTGTGGAGTTGAGGGCACAACATATTTTTATGTGGATAGATACAATATATTATCTGTCATGATGCCTGCATGTAGAAGATGTCTTGTAAAGCTAAGAATTTGCCTTGGAAAATGAATGAATCTTTTATTTATTAGTCAGGGAAAAAAAACCAAGACTATATATGGAAACTTAGAAAATATATCCATGGCTATTCAGTGGGTAAACACAATACTCATAATAGTAATCACTGATATTTATATGTAGCACTTTATATGTGCTGTCCCATGGCTCCCCATCAGATGCCTGTGTTAGACTGAGAAGCCATCATAGCTCAAAGCTGCATTAGGACTTTGGGGCTGGGTATGGAACTTGAGAGTTTACAAAGCACTTTCTTAACCACAACCCTGTGAGATAACCATTAGAGATAGAATCATTCCTGTTTTACAGATGAGCAAACTGAGGGTCATAGAAATTAAATGACTTACTCAGGGTCACAAAGCTATTGATGAATGGGAAAGAGACAGAATTTATTAGCAGACACCTCAGTGACCATCTAGTCCAGCCTAGGACTTCCTCCTCTGATCTTCCTGACAAGTGGTCATCTCGCCTCTGCCTGAAGATCTGTGGAGGGGGGGCCCACCACCTCTGGAAGCGGCCCATTCTACTTTGGTCCTAACATTAAGCCTCACTTTGCTTCTTTGCAACTTCTAACCTGTCGTTCTTGATTTTTGCCTTCTGGGGCCATATAGAACGAGCCTCATACCTCCTCTATATGAGAGGCCTCCACAGTGACCTCCACAGTGATCGAAGATGTCTGTCATATCCCTCCTCTCCTCTGGGTTCCTCACATGCCTATTTCCTTCAGCCAGTCTTCATGTGACATAGACTCAAGGACCTTCACTGTCCTGGTTGCCTTCCTGTGGACATTCTCCAAGTTAGGAATATCCGTCTTAACCCACGGTACACACAGCTGAATGTAGTTGTCCAGACGAGGTCTGAGGATGGCAGAATGCAGTGGGAGGACTATCACCTTCTCCTTCCTAGAAGCTGTGTCTTTTCTAATGGATCCTACGATGACATTAGTGTTTTTAGTTGCTTCATCATGCTGCAGACTCATTGAGCTTGTAGGCTGCTAACACTCCCCAGATGTTTCTCAGAACAATTGCTACTTAGACATACCTCCTCCATTTTATATTTGCAGAGCTGATTCTTTTGTACCTAAGTGTAAGGCTTTTACATTTATACCTGTTGAATTTAATATTTTAGTTTCAGTGTAATACAGTTGGCTGTCAAGATCCTTTTGAATCTTGACTCTGGCTAACTATCCCAACTTGATGCCATTTGCAAATTTGATAAGCATGCCATCCAAGCCTTTATCAAAGTCATGGATAAAAATGTTATACAGTGCAAGGCAAATTATAGATCCTTGGGGTACTCCACTAGATACCTTCTGGCATGGTGACGTTAAATTCTTAACAGTTATTTTTTGACTCCAGCCATCCAGTCAGGTGTGAGTCCACATAATTGTATTAAGTGTGTTATACATATTTCTCTAACTTCTGTACAAAAGGAGTATGAGATGCTTTTGTAGTATATACATATGTGTATATGTATAGTGTACCAAAAGTCTCAGTGCAGTTTTAAGCTTTAAGAACTTCAGAAGTGCGCAGTGGATAGAGCACAGGCCCTGAAGTCAGGAAGACCTGAGTTCAGATGCGGCCTCAGACCAAACACTTGACACTTACTAGCTGTGTGACCCTGGGCGAGTCACTTAACCCCAGTTGCCTCACTAAAAAACAAAAAACAAAAACAAAAATAAAAAAAAAGAACTTCAGAAGTATAAGTGCTATAGACTTATAAAAACATTTGAAAGGTTGATTATTTAAATGTTTAAAAATATTGATGTTTCTTATTAAAATTCAACAAACACTATCTTGTGTTATATCACTAGTTTATTTTCAGACTTTTTAACTTTAATCAGCTGCTGCTCAATGACTAAAAGGATTACATTTGTGATCCTAGTCTCAAGATCATTTAAAGAATGAGATTTTGATGCATACACAACAGCTTTGATATGACCCCACAAGAAGTCCAAGATCCAGTGTCTGAGGTGGCTGAGCAAGAGGACCTTGGCCTCCTCTGCCAGTCCACTTGTCTAAGAAAGTGACATCCAGAGCCTGTTGAAAATGTGATGCATAGTGTCAGGGTGCCTTATCTTGTTAAAAGTAAAAGGTTATTATTCAAAATTTACAAAACTTAAGTGTAAAAGAATTTTTAATAATTAAAATTTCAGATGATCTTTTGGTAAATGTGTAGCATTTATACATCTGAAGTTAATCAAAGCTTAAAACGACACTAAAACTTTTGGGACACTGCATGTATAGATTTGTGTATAGAGAGAGGGAGACAGACAGACCAGATAGAAACGGAGACAGGCCTGAACTGACGTCCAGCCCAGCCCACACTCGCACTGGAGGATCAGGGCCTTGGAGCTCAACTAGTGCTCTGCTCCTGAGGGCCTTAGGGGTAACCCGAGGGACTGTGGAATTGTTCTCTAATAACTCATACCACGCCCTCATCCACTGTGTTCCCCCATTTCATTCACGCAGTTAAATGTCTCCCCAACATCATCTAACCACTGATTAATGCCCCAGTATCATTTTGATCAGTTGATGTCTCCTTGATGTCACAAATGACCAGTTTATATCTGTTAAGATTTTTACTGAGAAATTACAGTAAGGACAGAGAGATTATAGTAAGGACAAAAGTACAAAGGCATCCCACTCCCCCAGGGCATAATCTCCCCTCTACTTGTTGGTCCCTGGGGTTAGTTGACTCATTTAAAGCTCATTTAAGTTTTCCTCCCATCAAGTTCTCTTCTGGGTGTGGCAGGAGGAGAAGTTACTTCCTTGCTTCCCTGATGTGGTGTCTCAGCTGCTGGGTCAATCCACTGTTGGGCTAAGTCAGACAGGTGATGCTCAGGGCTTCAGTGGCTCACTGGGCTTGGCTGCTACAGCTGCAGCAGATCTTCTGTGACCTCCAGTGCTGACCTCTGGTGGATCTTGTGACTTTTTGCAAACCACAAGGTCCTTCCCTCTGGGATACTCATTTACCTAGGATCAGGGAAAAATAAACACAACAGAGACAGAGGAAACTAAAGGTGCCATGTATTTGTGGCTCCTTGGTGACCAGCTGGGGAAGGGGCTCCCTTTCCCAGAAGTTAACAGCCTTTCTTCTTTTGCACTAGAAACTGGCCCCACAGAAAGGGAAGGTTTGTCTGTGGGTGCCTTTGTTATTCATATGCAGCTCTGGCTTAGCTGCTGATTAGAGGGCATTTTGTCACCATACAATAAGCACCCGAACTGTCCTGGATTGGGGTGAAACCCATGGTGCCTGAGCCAGATCCTCAAGCCTCCGTCTGGCTCCATGGTTAGCAGGTAGAGCAGATGGAGCATGTCCCAAGCACCAGGTGGAGCCCACTGACCAGTCCTTTGTTACACTCTATCTAAATCTGCGTAAATTATATCTATAACATTTCCCTCATCTACAAGCTTAATTCTGTTGTCAAAAAAGGAAATGAGGTTCATCTTGCATGTCCTATTCTTGATGCAGCCATATATCTTTGATATGCCAATTTCCCTCCAGGTGTTTAACAACATCTCTTTAGTGATCAAGTTGAAATCACTGACCTAGAGTTTGCAGGCTTTATTCTTTCCCCTTTTAAAAAAATTCAGACAGCTATCCTTGTCAAATCTTGTGCTCTCCCATTTTCCAAGGTCTTTTTCCCTCCTTAGGCCACCCTGTGCCTGTGTTCAAAATATGGATGTTTGTTTTATGCGTGACAGGACTGCTCTCTACTAGGATTGTTTCTCTTTGCCTTCCTCTTTTCCCCCAACAGGGATTGTTTTTTCCTAAGAAGTGACAAAGTCAGTCCAGGATCTGATGCAGCTAGGTCACCTAGGGGTATAATAAGTTCCACCCACATGGGGCGTTGGGGGCCCCTCTGACTTGGTAGATATCTGAAGACTGACCACACCCATTTCCACATAGAGAAAAGATGGGCCATATGATAGAAACTAAGTGCCACTATATCCTTATTGCCAATCCTTGCTATGTTTAGGGCTAAGTAAACTCCTTTGGTAACTGTTCAGTGATTCCCCAGTGCCTCACTTCATCCCCAGATGAAACCTAAACTAACAGTAGGCCATCACTAGACCTGCCTCTAACAATGGCAGGTGAAACTGTCCATATTTGGAGATACCTTGTTTCCCAGAGCTAAGGCCCAGAGAGCAGGCTGTGCCCTGATCTTGGGATAACAGCAGTCCTTTGTGCTCTGGATGATCTTACCCTCTGGCACAATGTATTGCTTTGACCAGCACCAGGTGTTCACTGAGGGATTTATGGTTTTCATATTAATCGATAACTGCTTAGATTTGTTGGAGTTCCTCTCTTTCCCAGCGACCTGAGAGCCAACGTGCTGTAGCCTAACGCTATCCATCAAAATCTCCGGATACCTAACAGCTTCTGAATTGTTGTGCTTGTGCAGCCAAAC